AATTAATATAAAAATTATTTCAAACACCTATTAATTTATTATAAACATATATCCAACTTTCATATCAATTAAAAATTTTCAACCTAATAAACAAGATACAATAATTCATCAAATCTTCATTAATTTTTTAATCTTAGCATCTATAACTATTACTTCCTTTTGTACTAACTTTTTGTATCCGAAAATCACATTAAATCCCGATTAATTCAGAATTGAATCACATCAAACCTCATAATAGGTGAATTTTTCCCCGCATCTATTTTTTTATTCACAAAGTTCGAACTCAAAATTTTATTTTAAAAAAAATTGAATTCCTTCTATTTGGACCAACAAATAATAGGTTATATCTATTACTATTGTATATCTTTTTTAATCCAAATTAATCTCCTCTCTTGAATAACCATATTAAAAGGTTTTAATTCAAAATATAAAAAATATAATACATCTGCATATTTTTTTGGTATCTTTCCATTTACCTATACTCTATTTTTCACTAACTTTTCTTAGGACTCTATCTTTTAACTTAATCTTACACATGTTATCAATATGTTTATTTATTTACTTATATTCCTCACTTTTTCTTCTATATTAATAATTTGTTTGTTATTATTCTTTAAAATTTTTTAATTTATACCTTGAATGATGTAATTATTATACCTTTTAATCATTAAATTACGTAGAAAAAATAAAGATTGATTTTAATTTTACCAACCAACCAATTGAAATAATACACATTAGTTCTATGTATTATAAGTTGTAATTATTCATAATTCTTGTTATTTTAATAATCTTTATTAATTAATATGTTTATTGAAAACTATTTATAACTTAATCATTATTTTTTTACTCTCAAAATAATTGAGTAAATAAGAATTAATTTGCAAAGTGTTATTTTAAATAAAATATAATTTGTTTGAAATATAATTGAGAACAATCAATTGAGAAGTTATTGAGTTCATTAATTTTTTTTTGCTAAATTAATTTGTGAAATAAAATTGAAATCTTAATAATTAAAATTATAATTACATTTATAATTATTTATTGAAGATTTTAAAAGGTCAACTAGGTATTTCTTTGATATTTTAGAGGGATTTTAAAAGATTTATTTTATATTATTCAAAATTTATTAAAATTTTTAATAATTTTATAATATATTTTTGGGGCCCTTAAGGTAGATTCTGATTCGAAAGAGTTGTTAGGTTAATGATGAA